GAGGTTGTAATGGAATGTTTACACTATATGATGGAAATCATGATTACGAGGGGGTACTATAGAAATAATATACATATTCGGGCAGCCCAGATTTGTTTTCACCTGCCCGTACAATAGGCCTCCAACCCAACAGCCGCGTAAACGTACATACTCGTACACGTACGTACGTAAACGTAAACGTAAATGACCAACTAAGATAGGAACCTAGCATGAGAGGGGTGTCAAATTACATTTGTATGTGTAGGCTGTAGTGGGGTAGCCTCTACTGAGTACAACAATTTAGGTCAAACCTAGTACTTGTACTCATGCTTGTTTGCTACTCAATCATTCCTGCACAGTTGATTCTGACATGGTATTCAGAGCAGGAAACCTGTTAGGCTTTTAGGGCCCACCGATCGTTCCGCTAGTTCCTGCCCGAAGCGCCCTTGCGCTGTCCGGCCCTCTCGCACAGTGTCACGATGCCCTGCAGCTACTCGAACTGTCACTACCCTGCCGGCGTTCTACATCCTCGTGTACATCGACGAATTGGTCTTTTTGCTACTGCTGACACTGAGGCACTGGCCCTAGTGAAGGCGGAGCTGCATGTGAGACACACCTGCACTGACCTGGGTGAGTTGTGGAGCTATCTTGGCTTGCAGATCACCCGGGACAGAGCACGGCGCACCATCACCCTGACTCAGTCACACATGGTGCACCAGGTCCTTCAGCGCTTCGGCTTCCAGTACTCCTCGCCACAGCCCACTTCTCTGTCTATCGGTCACTCGCTCTCAGGTCCACCTTCGGACGAGTCCGTAGAGCCGAGTGGTCCATACCCAGAGCTTGTGGGTTGCCTCATGTACCTGATGACGTGCACACGACCTGACCTCGCGTACCCTCTCAGCCTCCTGGCTCGCTACGTGGCTCCCGGTAGACACCGAAAGGTGCACTTTGATGCTGCGAAGAGGGTACTGCGTTACTTGTGCAGTACATTGGGCATGGGGCTCGTGCTTGGAGGACAGGGTTCAGTGGTACTCTCAGGACACTCCGACGCTTCTTGGGCCGACGACCAGGCGACTCAGCGTTCGTCACAGGGTTACACCTTCAGTCTTGGCTCTCGTTCTGTCCCGTGGAGGTCCAATCGTTCTTCTTCTGTGCTTGGTTCCAGCTGCGAGGCCGAGATCTACGCTGGGGCCATGGCTGCACAGGAGCTACGCTGGCTGACCTACCTGCTGACCGACTTGGGGGAGCGGCCACATTCTCCTCCAGTTCTGTACGTCGACAACAAGGCAATGCTTGCCTTGTGTCGCGAGCACAGACTGGAGCACAGAACGAAGCACATTGCTCTTCGCTACTTCCTTGCGCGTGAGCTGCAGCAGCGTGGTCAGCTGCGCCTTGCTTACGTGGCCTCTCGGGCCAACACTGCTGATGTATTAACCAAGGCCCTTGGGTCTGGTGATCATCAGCGTTTCTGCACTGCTCTTGGGCTAGTGCCCACTCTGCCTCACCTGCTGGTTGCTTGACTTGCTTTTGTTGTACACTGATATATATCTTTATACCTGCTTGTTTACTCTTGCTAGGTTGTGATCAGTGTACTGATAACTCTGCATGTGAACTGGCCTTGTGGTCGCTTGCTTGTGCTCAGATTGTGTGGTGTCCTTGAGATCCACCTTGAGCTTTGCTTTGCTTTGTTCTCTTGCTTGACTGGTCTTGTGACCGTTCGTTGTGTTTGCTATCCCCCACTTTGCCTATGGGGGTGTGTCAAATTACATTTGTATGTGTAGGTTGTAGTGGGGTAGCCTCTACTGAGTACAACACTTTAGGTCAAACCTAGTACTTGTACTCATGCTTGCTTGCTAGTCAATCATCCCTGCACAGTTGATTCTGACAAGGGGGTGTCGAGAAGAAAGTTGGCGAACAAAGGGGGTTGCACTATAGAAAACAAAGTACATATAGATAAGAAACATGCAGGCAATGGTGCACCACCATCAGGGTTTGTAATAACCACACTACAACTACACTGCAGATAGTTACACAAATATATATATATATATAAAGATATATTTCGACAATATTGGCCCGTTAAACGCAAAAAAAATGGATCCACCTATAGAAATCGTAGCTGCCTGACACATGTAATGGTGATATGGGACTGCAACGTGGTATATGGGAGTGCTTTGATGCACTCACAGCTGCACATGTAAACTTTCCTCCAACAAAAAAGCCTGATTAGGTCCCAGTTACCCCTCTTGAAAGTGGAATACCCCAGGAAATCCACCTGGGAATCCCCCTCCCCCTTGAAAGTGGAACCTGACGTTCTGCCCAAAGGGGAAACCCCCGCCTCCCCTTTGCTGCTTGTACTTGCTTTGTTGTGACCCTCGATATTGTCTTTTTTTTTTTTACGTTCTTCTTGTTGTGCCGAATTAGCTTGTAGTATAATTGAGGCATTAAGTTTTGCATCTTGCGTTACAAGAATGTAACCGCCTGTCACCTCCTTTTCTTGTGGATGTCCATTGGCCAATGTAGGTGGAGCACTTGAAGCAACAACTGAAGGTGAAGGGTCGTGGCAAGAGAAACGGAGTGACAGCATTTGATCACAGTCCCGAATCTCATGCCGATTCTCTGTCGGTATGTTCCTCTGTTGCCATTTTCATCATTTTCCCAAGTTTCAGTCCAACGCTCTTGTTCCGTTGTCGCATGAACGAATAGTTTGGTTGTGCCCGTTTGTTTGGAGGGTGGGGGACAGAAGAATAAACGGTGCTGCGACAACTTTTGAAGTGCATATTTAATTCGCATGGAACCTCCCCTCCTCTTCAGCATCACTCTCGTGTTTTCAAAGCCGGTATCGATTGTGCCATGCCATACCTACATGCTAAAGCATAGTGATTGTATATGTAAACAGACCATCCTATATTTGCCATAGAAATCCCTCGAGTCACCCTGTAACAAAGATTATGCAAGTGGTATTTGGCTAATTACTTCACGTGCTCGGACAGCTTGAGAAAGTACAGTTGTAAATCTTATCCAGCTTCAGCAGGGCCGACGACGATCACGGATAGGCTGGTCCTTTGCGCTCCTTCACCCTTGCTTGGTCACACCGCAGTTGCTCCAATCGCCCTACGTTTCCCTCAATCATGTCTTCGTGCTCCCCTAAACATGATCAATAGATTGCTTGCTCAATCTCGTGTGTGTATTGGCCCTCTTGTTGGCTCTCACTCTCGAATCTCCAATCTGGATTTCCACTGACTCACTCGTCCAGTTTGGTCGTAAACGTACGCACGGGCCATGGGGGTCCATTGTTTTTCGTGGCGATGTCTATTTCCAGGAGCTTTCCGCCAGGGCACCTGATGTTAGCAAGTCTGTGACATAAGCTGGAAGGCGATGGTGCCGGGCGTGACGAATTAGGACGTGTTGCAATTCCCGATTTTTTGTTTTTTTTGTTTTTTAGACTGCATCGGCTCGGCTCGGGGCACGGGTTCAGGAAGGTTTCAGGCAGCCGGGAGGCCGAGCCAATGCGGTGCACTGACTTGGCACGGCATGGCTCGAGCCGAGTCAGTGCACTGCATCGCTATGGCTCGAGACAGCACGACCTGGCACGTGCCATCAAATTGACCCCCGCTGCCAAACTACCACTCTGCACTCGCCACATTTCCCGATTCGTGTCAGGAAATTACGTAGTACCATTCTCGAATGTCATAACGAATTTTCAAGGTTCCCGAAGCTCGAGTCAGGCACGACCTGCCTCGTACCAATTCGAGCCGAGCCGATGCAGTGCACCGGGAATTGCAACGCGCCCTTATCCCAGTGTAGTTTTTTTCGGATGGTTACGGCGGTTCTCGGCGTTCGTTTTTTTCGGATGGTTACGGCGGCGATCTGAACTAGGAGCGCCGCCGATTTCGTCCATCATGTTTGCCCAGTCACAGCTAGGGGAGTCGTACTGACGAGCCTTCGTTCGCATCTCTCGCAGATACGCTCGCCTCACTCCTTCCTTGATCGACGCGCCAGTACAGTGGTGTGTTGCGAAAAGTGCGCGTGAGGCGCAGGTGGGGTGTGCGTAGTGACTGATCATTTCGAAGGCTGGTATTTCCCGCATGATCACTAGTCATACACACAGATGGCGAACAAGGGAAGGGTCCTTCTCGAGAACCCTCGGTAACTCGGTTCTCGCCAGTGCCACGCGCTTTTATTTCTCTCCTCCGCCTCAGTCTCTCTTTGAACGGAACGGACATATTTCTCCCATTCCGTAGTACGTACACTGATGTATGGTGGGGTGGTACGTTGTGGCGTATCCACGGCATCCCAAGGTGCATGCACCCACAACATCCCGCTATGATCTGGCGTGGGTAGCTAACAGTGGTGGATTAGGTCAGCATGCTGGGCTGGGGTGACCACGCCAGCAGGGCTTCGCACGTACAAACATCAACGAGAGAGTGTTTCGATCATTAGGACATCACGCACCCTTGTATGCGGCGTGAATGATGTCTGCGAGTCCGCCGCCTGCTCGCCGCAAAACCAGATCCGGAGAATCGATACCATTTGGATTTTTTTACGGCTTCCAGCAGTATGATTGGTTCATGTGGCACCCAGCTTTGGCGGCTAGCTGGCCAAGTTTCCGTTTACGATGCTGCCAATCACGCGCACTCGCTACGCAACTTGAGCATTTGCAGGTTTTTTAAAGGCCAGTTGGTCCCACGCCGCGTCGCGAGAGTGCTTCTCCCCCTCCCTCGCCAAAGCACTCTCCCTTGTGAGGCAGTTAGTACTACTACTAGTGAGTGCAAAGAGCCGCAGTGATTCCTCTCCTGATAAGCTTCCAGATTTATTATCGTACCATTCCACGTCCCACGTCTCATAAACAGGCTGATGCATCAACTTTTGGAACGGATTTCCTCTGTTAGTTCATCTCCGCTTCCGACAGTTCCTTCCAGAGAGTGCTTTTCTGCTCTTCGTTCTGAAGAATTGACACTGTCCAGAGAGTGCTCTCGTGCTCTTTTCCCAGTCCGTGTTAACTCGGTGTGACTTTCCTCATGATGGATTGCTTGGACGCCGTGACTCTAACGGGGGAACCGTGTCTCGACGCGACTCTAACGGAGGCACCATGCTTCGATGCGCTCCTAACGGGGGAGCTTCCAGCCGGCACGGTGCCGGCGGAATGGAGCAGCATCAGCAGGGAGGAGCTCCGCCTGATCCAAGAAGCGCTGCAGCGCGCCGAGCAGCCTGGACTGGAAAATTCCGAGCCGGCTTTAATCGCCGCGCGGCAAGGTCTGCGTGAGCCCGAGTCGGCTTTAAACGCGGAGCGCAGAGGGTTGGTGCTACCGGAAAGTGAGGGGGAGAGTCCTGTTGGAGTAGCACCCTCAGCACGGCTTCTGAAGGATGATGGGAGTGGGGCTCTTGGGGATTTATCCCCTCCCAACCCTCTGCTCACTCAGATTCGGAATGAGTCTCCTCTTTCCCTTCCGGTGCTTCCTGCGCCGCTGCAGACTCACCAGCTCAGCACCTCTCCTCCTCCACCTGCTTGCCGCTCTTTTCCCTAACTCTCCGTTCCCCCCGTCCGCAACCCCTCAACGGCGTTCGAAGCTCACTGCGCTCCCACCTTCGTACCAGCTTTTGGCACAAAGCGAAGGCTTCTGGCGTCTCAAACAAATGATCTATCTCAAATGGAAGCTTTTCACACGAGGAAGAGGTTACGTGGTAACCCTGCTGCTGTTGATACTGCTCTCACTGTTGTTGCAACTGCTGCTGTTGCGACTGCTGCTGTTATTGGACCACGCACCGCTGCTGGTGCCTTCTCTAGCCGCGTTTCGGCTGAGAAAAGGCCAGGTTGTGTTGCCGAGCTCGACGCGCCATGGAATGCAGCAGCAGCCCTTCCTGCTATGGCCGCTCTTGCCCCTACGACACACGTTTCAAGAATCACACCTGCTGCAGTGCCTTCCTGCTGGACTGCTGCTGCTGCGCCTGCTGCTGTGACTGCTGCTGCTGCGGCTGCTGCTATGACTGCTGCTGGCACTTCTGCTACTGCTGGCAAAGCTGCTGCTGCCACTGCTGCTATGACTGCTGCTGGTGCAACCGCTTCCCCAAGCTACTCTCGCATGTGCCGCACACGTACAGGCGTGAGCCCCACACACTCTGGCCTGGGCTCCACACACCCTGGCGTGTCTCCCACACACCCTGGCGTGTCTCCCACTCACTCTGGCGTGTGGCCCACACGTGCTGGCGTGTGCCTGCCACAGCACCCATTGGACCGGCTTGCTCGTGCTTTCGCTCAGCCGCTGCGGCCGCATTCCTTCGAGATGGTGCGTGGGGTGGGACTTCACACGAGCATTGACGCTTCCCCCCCTGCCGCTGCTGCTGCTGCTATTGATGACGGTGCTGCAGCTGCTGCCGGTTCAGCAGCTGCCGCTGGTGGTGCTGCACCTCTCGTGATGCCTCTGCCGCTTCCCTTCGAGATGGCGTGTGGGGTGGGACTTGAGGGGGATGAGGTCGCTTCTCCCCCCGCTGCTGGTGCTGCTGCTACTGGTGGTGCTGTTTCAGTCGCTGGTGATGCTGCTGCTGTTGGTGGTGGTGCTGCTGCTGCTGCTGCCGCCGCCGCTGCTGCTACTGCTGCTCCAGTCATGCCAGACTCGTTCTTTGCACACCAGCAGAGGCAGGCAGTTATTAGCTGCCTGATGAGGCGACTCCAAGCACAAGCACCTGGCAGCACCGTACTCCACCGATCCGTCTCGCCAGAGCTGCGTTTTGAACCGTCTCAAGGGCTTTCGCCACAGGTGCTTCCCCCGGAACAGAATCCCCTAGTGCAGCCAGCAGCGCTAGTGCAGCCAGCAGCGCGAACAGGATCCTTCCAAGCACACGCACACGAGTCCTTCACTTCCAAGATCTCTGGTCTGCAACCACACGCACAGCACCGCTTTACACCAGACTCTCCGCAAACACAGGCTGCAGCGGGTGGGTCAGCAGCCCAGGAGTCATCCCCAGGAGGGAACGCGGGCTTTAAGTCGCCCTCTGCGACCGCATCTCCATTGTCGCAGTCCCCGAGGGGAAGGGCGGGACGCGGAGGGACAGGAGGGAGGCAAATCACTGGAAAGAGCGCTACGGAGAAGCATCGGCGGTCCAAAATAACGTGAGTTGGGTGGTGGTCCGATTCGGTGTGTGTGTTGACTCCTGTTGACTCCTGTTGACTTGAAGGTTCGGCCATGTTCACGCTGCTTGACTCTTGCTGACTTGGAACCTCTTGTTGACTCGTGGTCTGCACACCACTCGAGCTCATTACTCATCCGAAGATTCCTTCCATCCCTCCGTCTTCCTTCATGTGCAATACCCGTCCCTTCCTTGTCCCATTTGTACATCCCAATGAGCGAATAAACGCACTCAGGGCAGTGATACCACTTTCCAAGTCGACTTCAATAGCCAGCCTAATGTGTGCCTTCCCCTCTCCTTCCTTCCCCTTCCTCCTCCCATGTGCGCCTCACAGTGAGCGATTGGAAGCTCTCAAGGCAGTGATACCAGCCGAGGTGCTGCTGAGGCAGCAGGGCCGGGTGGGGTTCAGCAGTCGCACGCAGATCGCCACTCTCCTGGATGCTGCCGTGGGGTTCATCGAGGGAATGCGCGAGTACAAGCTGGAGTTGCAGAGGCAGCTGCTGGCCTCGCAACAGTTCGTCTGAATTGCCTATGCACGAATATTTAACAGCCCTGCAGCAGGCTTCAGTTGAGCTGCTTCAGAAGATTCAGAAGCAGTCGCACGTAGGTAGCATGTGCCTACGCACGAAGTACAATTTTCGACATGGCATTGGGCCATTGAACGAGTACACTTTTTGAGCTGAAAAAGCAGCCGCAGCCGCTGACAGTAGATGGTGCATGGGTTGACCCCTGTGCCTCCAGTGGAATTCTTAAGGCTCGCACTGAGCCACAGCTCTGCTCAGCCCGGCCATTTAGAGTTTGAAGGTCTCGACTCAAGCTCAAAGTCTTGCACTTGAGTTGATGGCTTGCGCATGAGCAGGGTCCAAGTATTTTGCTGCCTGTTTTTGTTGCCTAAATAGCAGATGACGAACAAAGCCATTAGGGGCATCCAATTTTGTAGAAAATTGTTTTTAAGTAACGGTAAAAGTTCCTACGATATGAACTAGTATGCAGGGTGCATGATACAAATGCTTTGCACACTGCAGTATTACCCTATGAGTTGATCCCCATGTCTCAAGAGAAACAGCTACACTGATTGGCTCTTGTGATATAGCGGTTTTTAGATTAACATACATTGACCAGTTACTTGCCAAAAGTGGGATCCACATTTATAAACTGCAACTGCTTGATTCATTTAACGTTAGTCAATGACTACAACGGATCCAGGAGTGCTTTAAGGCACTCGCAGCAGCAGACAAATAGCGGTAGAAGAAATGATCATCTGTATAGATTCCTCCAGTGAAACTTGGTGTTTTGGTCCCAGTTACCCCTGTTGAAAATGGAAACCCCCAGGAAATCCACCTGGGAAACCACCTGGGAAACCTCCTCCTCCCCCTTGGAAGTGGAACCTGACGTTCTGCCCAAAGGGGAAGCCCCCGCCTCCCCCCTGCTGCTCTGGCTCGTCCACATCCTCCCCCCTGTCGTACCTCCCTCTCTTGTCCTCATCTCCTAACACCTGCAGAGTTGGAAGGGTACACGAAGTGGGGGTGCGAGGGTGTAAACAGGATTTCTGCAACGTCTCAAGGATCGGTCGTATTGCCCCCGCTTGTTATGGTCTGCTGATATCAAAACGCACGCTTGATACCAGCAGTAGATGCGCTCTTGTCAATCCCAAGCACGCACCCTGTACCTTGCACCCTACTCCACCAACCCTTCCTCTCCTTCTATACCCTGTGAACCTTCTACTCACACCCCTCCCTCTCTCCCTCACCTCGTATGCAGCAGCCACCTCCCTGAACTGCTCCTCCGCCTCCTCCTTGTTTCATTGACCCCCTCCCATTAACCCCGTTGACTTTCAACACCCCTCCCTATCTTACCTCATAAGCAGCGGCCACCTCCCTGAACTGCTCCTCGGCCTCCTCCTTATTCTCCACGTTCTTATCCGGATGCCACTTGAGCGCCAGCCTCTTGCATCAATCCCTCTCATGCTGAACTTTCTCACCTCAAACACTCCTGTGTGGCTATCACCCACACCCCCCCTCACCTCATACGCAGCAGCCACCTCCCGGAACTGCTCCTCGGCCTCCTCCTTGTTCTCCACGTTCTTATCCGGATGCCACTTGAGCGCCAGCCTCTTGTACGCCTTCTTGATGTCAGCAGCAGCCGCGCTCTTGTCCAGCCCCAACACCTTGTAATAGTCCTTTCGTTTGCTCATCTTCAACCCCTGCTCCGCCCTCTGAAACCCTGCCACTGCTTCACGGCTCTGCACAGGATGATGGGGAGGAGGGGACGGGAGGGCATGGAGGGTGAGTGTTAGAGGATGGTGTGCTGGCTGTAGCCTGTAGACATGTGACACATCGGCATGTGACACATCGGCATGTGACACATAGGCATGTGACACATAGGCATGTGACACATCGGCATGTGAGGCATCGGCATGTGAGGCATCGGCATGTGACACATCGGCATGTGACACATCGGCATGTGAGACATTTGGCATGTGACACATCGGCATGTGACACATCGGCATGTGACACATTGGCATGTGACACATCGGCATGTGACACTCAAACAGAGTCTACTCGCCTATAGATCAAAGCATTTGCTCTACCTGCTGGTTCAGCTGGTGTGCGTGCTTGAAGTCCCCCAGAGCGCCCTCCCACTCCTCAGAGGCAATGCGCGCCTCACCACGCTGGCAGGACAGGCACACAGGCACAGATGGGAGAGTGGGAAGAAGGGGAAAGCAGTGAGGAGCGTCCTTAGTGGATCGGTCGGCTGGTGCGCGTGATTCAAGTCCCCCAGAGCGCCCTCCCACTCCTCAGACGCAATGCGGGCCTCACATCACCATGCTGGTAGGGCAAGAAGGTGGGAAGGTGTGGGGGTTGAGTGTGGTGGTAATGAGAGGGTGCGCGGGTGATGTCAGCAATGAGGGGGTGATGTCAGCAATGAGAGGGTGATGTCAGCAACGGAAGGGCATCAGCAGACCCAGAAGCAGCAGCAGCAGCAACTGGGAACAGCGTCTGGCAGCATGAGGAGGTTGGGTTACTGTGCTACTGACCAGCAGCAGTGCCTCTAATTGATTGCTGCTTACTGCCAGCACAGCGGAGCACGCCTCTATTGCCACTAACATATGGCTTATGACGCAACTGTCGAGATGACTTACGGGGTCAGACTGGAAGCATGATAAGCAGCGCGTACTGACCAGCAGTATTGGTGTTACTTTTGAGTTCTCAAAAGTAACACCGATAAGCAGCGCATACTGACCAGCAGCAGCGCATCAAAGTTGTTGCTATCTTCTGCCAGCACAGCAGAGCACGCCTCTAGAGTGACTTTCACACGCCTTATAGAACGACCTTTGAGACGTTACTGTAACACTGACCAGCAGCAGCGCATCAAAGTTGTCGTTGTCTTCCGCCAGCACCGCCGAGCACGCCTGTGCCGCCTCCTTGCCTCGCCCCAGCTGTCTTTTGAATTTACTCAGAACACAAGGGGGGTTGGGGTACTGACCAGCAGCAGGGCATCGAAGTTGTCACTGTCTTCTGCCAGCACAGCCGAGCATGCCTGCGCCGCCTCCTTGCCTCGGCCCAGCCGTGTTTCGAGTCGACTGTCTCAAAACACATGAGGTTGGGGTACTGTATCTCACCAGCAGGAGAGCATCGAAGTTGTCGTTGTCTTCTGCCAACACCGCCGAGCACGCCTGTGCCGCCTCCTTGCCTCGGCCCAGCCGTGTTTCGAGTCGACTGTCTCAAAACACATGAGGTTGGGGTACTGTATCTCACCAGCAGGAGAGCATCGAAGTTGTCGTTGTCTTCTGCCAACACCGCCGAGCACGCCTGTGCCGCCTCCTTGCCTCGGCCCAGCCGTGTTTCGAGTCGACTGTCTCAAAACACATGAGGTTGGGGTACTGTATCTCACCAGCAGGAGAGCATCGAAGTTGTCGTTGTCTTCTGCCAACACCGCCGAGCACGCCTGTGCCGCCTCCTTGCCTCGGCCTAGCTTCCCCAGGCTCCTGCACAGCCCCAGCTGCAGCTTCACGTTGTGCTGCTTGTGATCGGGGATAATCTGATGGGGAAGGGGGGGAAAGCGGGACAACAAGGGGAAAGGGAGCAGAAGGTGAGGAGTGTGGAAAGGGCCGTGACAGGAAAAGCGTAACCAGGCTCCTGCGCAGCCCCAGCTGCAGCTTCACGTTGTGCTGCTTGTGGTCGGGGAGGATCTGATGGGGAAGATGGGAGATAAGAAGGGGGGAAAGGGAGCAGAGATGAGAAAGAGAGTGTAAAGCGCAGTGACAAGGGGTGCTTCACCAGGCTGCTGCACAGCCCCAGGTGCAGCTTCATGTTGTGCTGCTTGTGGTCGGGGAGAAGTTAATAGAGGGAGGGGAAGCACGTTGATATGCAAGTACATGACATGCACATGGCAGTGCGTATGGTCACTCTACATTCTGAACTCTCCACATTGTGAGCATAGAGTGCTACTGTGCTCATACATTGTTACTGAGTACACTCAAACGCTGAAACCCAACCACGTGAGCGCACAAAGCCACATGCTAAGACTGAGTAACCTACAGAGCTGCCTCGATTTCGTCTGCTGCCTTGCAGTACTTTCAAGAACTCTCAGAAGTAACTCGAGTATACGTTCGAAAATTCTATTCGATTGCACTTCCGATATGACTGACCTCAAGAGCCGCCTTGAACTCGTCTGCTGCCTTGCGATACTTGCTCTGCTCCAACAACTCGGTGGCCTGGTTGAATCAAGAGGAGGAAGGTACCAGCGGGAAGTGGGAACAAAAACGTCCAGATGCGTGTTGAGATGAGCCCGGAAAAGGAGGCCAATCGAAACTAGCTCTGGTGAACCAGCTCATGGGCCTGATTACGCTTTTGAGACTTCTTATAAGTGAAAAAGAGGGGCCAGTGGGAAGGGCGGCACTGGGATGTGCATTAGCATGAGTCTGGACGAAATGGACAACTCGAAATTAGCTCTGCTGCACCAAGCTGTTGGCCTGGTGGCAGAGTGCAGATGAGAGACGAGTTGGACACGTCACATGAAAAAGAATGAATGGCTCGCTACCACTATGACACATCAGGCAACGCTGACTTGATTCAACTCATCTGTTCCTCCACGGCGATTTCTCTCCTTAAAGCTTTGGTTTTCTTCTCCAGGTTCTTGAAAGCTACACTAATTCCAGCTCCTCCGCTTCTCTTTCGTTCAAAAAGGCCCAGGCCCCTTCTCTTCCCTCACCGACCCCTCTTCCTACCCCCCTCAACTCACCGCTTTGGTTTTCTTCTCGAGGTTCTTGAGCTGCCTGAACGCGCGCTTCAGCTCCTCTCTTCTCCTGCGCCCAGCCAGACCCAGTTCCCTCCCCTTCCCACGGCAACTCCTCTCCGTATCCCCGTCAACTCACCGCTTTGGTTTTCTTCTCCAGGTTCTTGAGCTGTCTGTAGGCCTTTTTTAGCTCCCCATGCTCGGGGTCCGACCGAAGACCTGCCTGGAAGTGCCTGGACGAAGGGTAGAGGCGGAGGAACCCCGATAAGGTGGAGAGACGGAAGAGTGAGGAGGGGAAGAGGGGGACGGGAGAGAGGGGGATGGGGAAGAGGGGGACGGGAGAGAGGGGGATGGGGAAGAGGGGGATGGGAGAGAGGGGAAAGGGAAGAGGAGAAGGGCAGGGACTCTATGATACCGTAGGGACAATTCTGGTACGAAGTTTGTGAGATGGGGGGGGGGGGGGGGGAAGAGGGGTCCGGGCGAAAGGAGGAGCGGGGGGGAGGAAGAGAGAAGTGGATACGTGAAAGCTTACTTAGCTAATTGTGTGGTCGTTGTGGGCATTGTACTTACTTAAGTGCGTGGTCGTGGTCGCCGTTGTACAGATACGCCCTCCCCCTGAGAAGCAGCCCTTCCAGGTCGTTCTCATCCGATTTAAGCGCCCTGCCCGCCTCTGCTATCACACCCGGATAGTCCCCCTTCGCCATAAGCAGCTTCGCTTTAAGCAACAGCGCCTCTTTACAGTCCGGAACTACACTGAGCACGTCATTCTCTAACCGCTTCTCCACATCCTCCCCTCTACCGGACTCTACTGCGCTTTTAACGGCTGCTAGGGCCTCTGCTGCTGCCTTAGTTGACGCTAGCTCCTTCCGAGCGCTCGTATGCGACGGCTTCAACTCTATTAGCTTCTCAAAATCGGCGGAAGCTGCTGAGAACCTGCGTGCGGGAAAGAATTACGAGCAATCGGGGAGGATCAGGAGCAAGGAAATGATTAGGGAGACAGGGTAAGACCTCTGTGCAGGTACCTGTTCAGCACCTGAATGGCCTTCTCTATATCCGCCTCTTGGGGCGCGTAACGACCAATTGGGCAGATTTTGACGGCCTACTGGCAGAATTGGCGGCTTACTGGCACAGCTGACGGCGGAGACGGCCTCTGTGCAGGTAGCCCTGCAGGAAGGACGGCTCCACCTCAATGGCCATGTCTAGATCCGCCTCTGCCTCTCTGTGCTTCCGCTGCTGCAGATACACCGCCGCTCGCTTCGTGTAGCCCAGGCCCGTGCTGGGATCCGCTTCTGAAAGGGGAGAAGGCAATGAATGCGGAAAAGAGAAGTGGGTGAATGATAGCTCAATCCGAAAAGGTTCCGCTGATGCTGAATCGGGGAATGGGATGACATAAACGGGAACTTGCGGAGGAGAGGACAAGGAGATTTGGAAGGTGAGTGCAGGTTACTTGACGGCCTTTCAGGAAGCAAATGACTGGCAGTCACCTGCGATTGCAAATGACTGCTCATGACCTTTGCGATGTCCTATACAGGAAAACAGTGTCTTCAGAAGGTACCACAGTAATGTCACTTCATGAAATCACATTAGGTACTTTCAGTGAATCACAGCAGGAATTGGTAACTGAAGGGTTGGAAAACTCACCTATGAAAGCGGTGTAGTGTCGCAGCGCGGCGGAGTATTGGCCTGCTGACACCGCCGCATCGCCGGATTGCAGAAACGAGCCTGATTGGTCAGGTGGTGGATAAAAATCAGTTTCGAAAACAAACGCAGGGGTTACGATGTGAGCGGACCCAGTTAAGGGTTGTTGATATAAGCAAGATGGGTAGGATAAGTTACAACTATCGCTCCGCGTTGAGTTGTCTTTGACCGTACCTGGATCTGCTGCCGATCCAGCGACGACGAGGAAAGTCAGCACACTGATACTCAGACATTGCCAAGAAAGTTCTGCAAGCTCTCCATATGGTCTGCTCCTTCTGCGCCTCCCGCAGCCGCTACCATAAATCATGCTGCTACGGATTGCGCAAACTAGTTATAAGTTGCAATTGATGAGGCACCTAGGCGAGGTGAGGGTCTGTTAGCCTCAATTGTGACAGTACCTAATCACTCAGAGTTTGCCTCCTAGGACCAAACGTCAGTCAGCACGTTTCACTGGAATCAGACTGGAACGGATCAATGGCTCTCAAGCGATCAATGGCTCCTAGGGGACGCTAGACCCACTGAGAAAGTTGGCTTATCAGTTGGCCTCGAGATTGGTTTTTGGTGATTCTCAGAATTTTGTGATGTGCGGAATTTCCGAGGCTTGGGTGTCCGAAAGGTGACGATTGTTTCGCGAAGGTGTTGCTCACCTGCCAGCGAAAGCCATCTGGACTGCGACTGGGAGAGAAGTTATTCTGGAACCTGACACAATTCCAGCAGTGTTTCGGTAGCGCTGATTGGTGAATCAGGCACGATTGACGTGTACCTCGCAGAACATGTTCTCGATATTGGCATTCGTCGAGTTTGTACAGTCTCTATAGCCAATGTACAGTCGTGCTTGCACAGTATCAACAATATAGAACTGGGTGTTTTTACTTGGGTGAGATCACCTAGATAATAAACTAAAAAAACCAGAATGTGTAGAAACTTGATATGGGGTAACGTTTTTTCTTGTGTTTGCTTTTAGTTCACAGCTCAAACATTTGTGACAGCTAGCTGGGTACTAACGGCGTCGGTAACTCAATTATAGATTGCTCCTACAGCTATGTAAGCTGAAATCTCTTACCGAGCTTGCGCGTACCGAATTGCAGCAAATCGCGCCGTTCAGTCTGCAAGCTTATCGACGGTGGAACGTGGTTACAGCAACACCTGGATAGAAATGAGCTCTGCTGTTCTTGATTTACACCAGACCAACCACCCTTGATTGTGGGAATCGGGCTCATGCGACCAGCCTGGTGTGAATCGAGTGGATAGACCTTCGCGAACTATTCCAGTTCGCCAATCTTCAGCCAATCCCTTGAGACTCGCACCATTCCGCCTGGGCTTAGCTGAAACCCTCGTCGTTACTGTATAAGCTACGCTCCCGCCAACCACCACAACCTCGGTTTTGCCTGGTCTTAGCTGAAACCCTCGCCTCTGCCTGAATATACTTGCTAGCGCAGTCGGGAGGACTCGGAACCCTCGAGGGTTGGCTCCACCAGATCTCAAGAAACGCAACACAGCCAGCAGAATTTCTTACACACCTTCAGAAGTCCCTGTGCCATTTTTCACCACCCAGGGTTGGGAACTCACTCAGCTAATATTTTTTTTCTGTGCGCTTCTAGACTAGAGTCGCAGCGTGTTTGAGTATTTTGCGAGTTGGATCCCAAACCAATTGAAAGTTGTTGTGCGGTTCGAATAAAATTTTACAGCTCAACTTTGTTCGCCATGGAGCTGGGTCGCGATCCCGCTTATTACTCTGGCCAGGGAGCCTCCGGCGGAGGATCCGCGTATCCTGGCGGTGGCGGTTCTGGATATCCTGGTGGTGGCGGTTCTGCGTATTCTGGCGGCGGTGGTGGTTCCGCGTATCCTTCTCACAGCCTTTGGAGCGACGAGGAAGATGAAGAAGACTACATGGGGGAGGAAGGCGATGAAGGGGACGACCTTCCGGACTCCAAGAAACGCAAGCGCGACCGCGGAAGCAACTGGAGCCTCGCGGAGGCGCTCTGGTTCGCGGAGGGCCTCAAATCGCACCAGCAGATGCAGGACAGCCTTGGAGAGAACGCGCTGAAGTGGGGAAAGGTCGAGCAGGGCAAGTACCTCGTGAAATGGATGGCTTCGGGCCGCGCTCCCGGCGGTGCGGTGTACCATCGCTCGGCGCAGTCCTGCATCAGCCGCCATTACAACACGAAGCTGCTTTTTCGGAAGATCTTTCGTTGGCAGCGGCAGGTTCAGCAGGAGCAGCGCCGGCGGCTGCAGATGGAAGGACGCGCCCCTCCTCCTGGGGATAACTCGCTGGACGCCGCAAATCCCGGGTACTTCTGGCGGCTGAGCGTGGAGGAGCGCGAGGCGATTGGCATGCCGCCGCATTTCCCGCGAGAGCTTTTTGATCATATGATGGAGTGGATGCCGATTGCGGTGCACGCGCGGCAGGAGCAAGAGAGGACGCACCCGCAGCAGCAGCCCGGTCAACGCGGAATGCAGCAGCAGCAACAGCCTGGTCAACTCGGTCAACGCGGTCAACGCGGGTCAACGAGTCAACCCCGCGGTGGCGCCGACGGGAATCAGGCTGGAATGTGGGATGTCGGCACGAGCTCCGGAGGGAATGTTGGGGCTTCTAACATGCCCGGTGGGATGCCATACGTCCCTTCAACTGCGGAAGATCCGTATCTCGTGGCTCTGCGCGACCAGGCGAGTCTTTTGCTCGGGCCGCCCGCGGGTCAAGCGGCAGGGGGTGGTGCAGGCGGGGAAGGACTCGGCGCTGGGGCAGGGGATGATGGGGACCCGTTGATTTCGAGGTTGGCGGCGGCGACGGGGCCTGGCGCAATGGGCGGCGGAAGGCACGGCAGTCAGGGAGACTTGCGCGGGGCTCCCGCGGCAGGCGGGGGGAGGAGAGGACGCGGTCGCGGAAGAGGCGGCGGAAGGGGGCGGGGGGGAGGCGCAGCGTCCGCCGGCGGATTCGGGTTTGCGGGCGGGCAAGAAGACGACCTGATGACGTGGCGGGTCTACGACGGTGTGCTGTCTCGGCTTCCGGGGTCGTCGCGCGAGCCGCGCTCGGGCGGAGCGCTGGGGAACGACGCAATGGTCCGCGCGGCGCACGTGATTGCGGGGGCGATGGGCAGGAGCGAGGACGCGCTCGCGAAGCGCCACAAGCTCGAGACGCGTGAGCGAGAGGCCCGGGAAAAGGCCCGGAAGGCCGAGGCAAACCAGCTAAAAACCTACCAGAATGGCGACCTGGGGCTGAAAAAGGAGAAGCTGATGTTGCTGAAGCGACAGGTGGAGGCTCAGGAGAGGCTGGTGGTCCTGGAAAAGCGGCGGGAGAAGCGGGAGAAGCAGCAGGTGACGGCGGTTACGGGGATGGCGCAGGCGGTTGGTGCGGCTGCTGCTGCGGTGCATGCGGTGGTGGTGGCTTCCGGGAAGATTCCAAGCTTGGCAGGGCTGGATATTGAGGAGTTGGTTAAATCGAGCGTGGAGAAGCTTAAAGCGAGTATGGTTGTGGAGGAAGAGGAAGAGGAGGAGGAGGTGGTGGGAATTGGTGGCGGTGGTATTGGTGGTGGTTTGGGGGGGTTTGGTGGTGTTGGAGGGGGCGGTGGTGGGGTGGAGGAGCAGGAGGATGGGGAGAAGGGAATGGAAGGATTGGGTGAAGCGGAGGGGGATGAAGCGGAGAGGGAGCGCGGGGAGGATGGGGACGTGCGCGAAGGGGCTGCTGTGGCGGAAGCAGCGGAAGGGCAAGAGGTAGTGGGCGCAGGGGGCGGCGGAGAGGGAGCAGAGGGAGCAGAGGGAGGAGGAGTGGTTGCTGAAGGGGTTGAAGGGGGGACAGTAGAGGGAGGGGAGGTGGAGGGAGAGGGGGCCGGAGAGGCAGGGGCAGGTAAGAAGAGTGAGGCTGGCGTGGGAGAAGGCGGTGTTGTGAAGGAGGGTGTTGCTGTGAGTGAAGGTGATGATGGGATGAACGTGGATGGGGGGGCGGATGCGGGTAAGGAAGGGAAGGATGGGCCAGCTGTGGTAGGAGTGAAGGACGAGGTGGGAGAGGGCGGAGAGGGCGGGAAGGGTGAGGAGGGAGAGGAGGGTGAGAAAGGGAGGGAGGGAGAGGATGAAGAGAAGGTTGCAGAGGAAGGGAAGGAGGAGCAAGAGGGAAAGGCGGGCAGTGAAGGGAAGGAGGTTGTTGATGGTATGGAGGTAGACAGTGCGGTAACTGGTGGTACAAATGCTGATGCGAATGCTGCCACTGCTCATGCGGATGCTGCGGAAAAGGAGGCAGATGCAGCAGGAGATGGTATTGATATGAAGCAAGGTGGTGAGACTGAGATTGAGAAAGAGACTGAGAAAGAGGCGGGAAATGAGACCAGGGCGGCTGAGACTGTGAATGAGGGGGATGTGCCAGCAGCCGAGGCGGCTGAATGGGCTTCTGCTGAAGTGGCCAAGGAGGAGAGAGGGGGAGATGAGAAGGTGAAAGAAGATACAAAAGAGGGAGTGGCGGTGGGGGCAGAAGCAGGGAAGGAAGGTGAGGGTGGTGCGGTTGATAAGGGTGGAGCTGGGGGTGAGGAGGGTTCGAAGGGAGGGGATGGTGCTGCTGCAGGGGAGACAGCAGGTGAGGGGGAGGGCGGAGTGGGAGGAGCAGAGGGTGCCAGTAAGGAAGGTGACAGTAAGGGAGGTGAGGGTGCTGCAGGGGACGCCATGGCAGTGGATGGTGCAGCAGCAGGGAGTGAGGCAGCAGAGGAAAAGTCGTGACTCTGAGGACGCTCCGCCTAAGAGTGGTTTGGAACAGGGTGAAATGGAATGGCTGCTGCACCTGGAGGCTGCACTGACAGTGTGGGGCATGGGAACCTGGGGTGGTGGGGCTGGGGTAAAAGTAGCAAGGGGAGGGGCTTTGGGTTGGGGCGTCGCGTCACCCTTTCCTCCGTATTTCTGGGTTCCGAATCATGTTTCTGTTTGCGCGAGAGCAGGGAATATTTTCTTCATTACCATAACACGTCAAACGTTTCTCTTTTTTCTTACTGTAGTTTTTTTATTTGCTGAAACTATCTTCCTTTGTCTTTGCACTTTCTAACGTTAACTTCCATAAACTGATTGTACTGTAGCTGTTTCACCCAGCTGGTCTGCTGTGCTGCTCATGTCAGGCAATACACTAAATTGGGAGTCGGCTCAGCAACAATCCAACCCCAGTTAGTAAATCCTATCCTCAAGGCCTCTAACGGGCTACTACACGCCTTGTTTCTCTGGAAACACAACAGGAAGCTTTCTCCTCACTTCCCCCGCAAGCTCCCTCAAGGCAGCACCTGCCTCCTCACCTGTTGCCTCCAGCGGCCACACCACCTGCTCAGGTATACAGACCTCATGCCTGCTTTTCTGGAAACACAACAGGAAGCTTCCTCCTTGCTTCCCACCCTGCAAACAGCCTGCTGGCAGCACCCGCCTCCTCCTCCCCTGCTGCCTGCAGCAGCCCCACCACCTGCTCCGCTATAGAGTCCCACACTAAGAAGTCCGACCAATTCGTCACTGTAGAAGTCACAGTAGGTGTAGACGTTTTCACTGTAGAAGTAGCAGGGGCAGCAGGGTCGTTCGTGGGGCCAGCAGGGGCGACCCAGGGCTTCTCACTGACGTAGTGAATGAACACAGGAGGGGCCTGGCCCTGTAGTGCCTCGTCCACCACCCATGATATGGCTCCGAACCTGGTGAGGGGGGGATAGGGGGGGGAGAAGAGTGAAAGAGACAAAAGAGGATAAAAGAGGAACAGTGAGAGGAGTGAAAGAGAGTGGACGAGTCCAAGAAATGCTACTCACCACAGAGCAAACAATCACTTTAAAGCGGCATCTGCAACTCACCTTGCTCCCGAACGTCCAAGAAATGCCACTCACCGCATGTGGCGGTGCACGCGTGTTCATGGCACCCCATCGGGCACGCGTGTTCATGGCACCCCATCGGGCACGCGTGTTCATGGCACCCCATCGGGCACGCGTGTTCATGGCACCCCATCGGGCACGCGTGTTCATGGCACCCCATCGGGCACGCGTGTTCATGGCACCCCATCGGGCACGCGTGTTCATGGCACCCCATCGGGCACGCGTGTTCATGGCACCCCATTGGGCCAGAAAGAACTTGTAGATGAAATACCCATCGGGCCCTGCCATGGTTGCACCCCTCATCACCGCATCTCACTGCATGTGAACGTGCGTCCACGGCACCCCTCTATCGAGGAAGAACTTGGAGATGAAATACTCATCGGGGGCCGCCATAGCTGCACACCTCGTGATACTGAATGTACCCCATGACGCCCATGCACCCAATGCCCACGTGTCTGCCAAGCATGCACGTCGCACGACTCACCGCATGTGCACGTGCGTCCATGGCACTCCTCGATCCAAGAAGAACTTGGAGATGAAATACTCATCCGGGCCGGCCATGGCGTCCCAGTGGCCGATGGGGTGGTGCCGCGCGCACCACTGCAGATCGTCGAACAGACGGCGACTGGGGGAGAGAAGGAGCGTGCAGCCTGGGGAGAAGGCAGCAAGGGTGGAGGGAGAGGGGAGAGAGGAAGAGGAATGGAAGAACTAGGAGAAAAAATACTCATCCGGGCCGGCCATGGCGTCCGATGGGGTGGTGCCGTGCACACCACTGCAGATCGTCGAACAGACAGCGGCTTGGGGAGAGGAGGAGAGTGCAGCCTGGAGAGAGCGGTAAAGAGGGGGTTGTTGTAGCAGGGGGGGAGTGAGCGGGAGAAGAGGACAGGGAGTGCTCAATAAGTGGTGCCGCGTACATGTGAGGTGTTTCGTGAGTCAACTCAAAAGTCGTCACTTATTCTCCATTCCTCCTCTCCCTCCTCTCAACATTCCTTCCCTCCCAGCTATTCCCACCCCTCACCCATGGCTCGAGTCACGTCACCGTCCGCATTATGCACCATTCGTTTCCCCCCTATCCCCCCCCTCTCTTTCTCACCGCGCATGGCATAGAACAGCCCCTCCATGGCTCGCCGCACGTCATCATCTGCCAGCAGCTGTCCGTGCAGCCGCTGGTTCTCCCTCATTACCTCCATCCATTCTTCCCATCATCCCCCCCATTCTCACCTCTCATCGCGTAAAATAGCCCCTCCATGGCTCGCCGCACATCATCATCTGCCAGCAGCTGTCCGTGCAGCTGCTGGTTCTCCCTCATTACCTCCATCCATTCTTCCCATCATCCCCCCCATTCTCACCTCTCATCGCGTAAAATAGCCCCTCCATGGCTCGCCGCACGTCATCATCCGCCAACAGCTGTCCATGCAGCCGCTGATTCGCACCAAGGTCCCTGCAAGACATGGTTCAATGGGGTACGGTGGGGTGCAGGGCAGATAGGACCGGTGGGTTGCGGTGGAAAGGCAAACAGTGGGTTACGGAAGAGTCTCATCATCTGCCAGCAGCTGCCCACGCAGTCGCTGGGTCGCCCCCAGGTCCCTGCCAGAGGCAGTTCCATGGGGTGCAATGAGGTGTGGTGGAGATAAGAACGGTGAGAGTAGAAACAGTGGGGTGCAGAACGGTGGACAGCAACTGCTTGTGCAGCCTCTGGTTCGCGCCCAGGTCCCTGCAAGGATCGAAACGGTGGGGGGTGTGGTGGAGACAGGATGAGTTGGGTGCGGTGAACATGTAGCGTTCTTTATATGCCAGCAGGTGACTGGCAGCAGGTGACTGGCAGCAGGTGACTGGCACACACAGACAGGTGGGGTAGGGTGAGCAAGCATGCTCGCACGCACCAGCGGTAGAGTTTCTAGTATGCCAGCTGGAGCACAGGAGGTGGAGAGCGCGCGCGCGCGCGCGCGCACACACACACACACACACACACACACACACACACTTACCATTGGCAGTGACACGAGCACGCACCGGCGGTAGAGGTCTAGGATGCCAGCTGGAGCACGGCAGGCAAACAGAGAATCGGGATCCGGGAGGGCTAGGGAAGAGGGCGTGTTCTGCTGCTGCTGCAATGTCTGTGGAAGTTGCTGCTGCAATTGCTGCTGTGGTTGCTGCTGCTGCTGCTGCTGCTGACCTTGCTGCTGATGCACCATGGAGAGGACGGATGGCGAGGAGGCAACAGCGTGCAGAGGGGTGGAGGTGGGTATGGAGGGGCGGAGAGAAGTGGAGACAGGTGTGGCAGCACAGTGTGAACGGGGGGGGAGCGAAGTAGGGGGGTCATGAGATGGAAAAGGAGGAGCAGCAGCTGAAGCAGCAGCAGTCGCATGGGCAGCAGCAGTAACAGGGGCAGCAGCAGTCGCAGGGGCAGCAGCAGTAGCAGGGGCAGCAGCAGTAGCAGGGGCAGCAGCAGTAGCAGGGGCAGCAGCAGTCGCAGGGGCAGCAGCAGTAGCAGGGGCAGCAGCAGTAGCAGGGGCAGCAGCAGTAGCAGGGGCAGCAGCAGTAGCAGGGGCAGCAGCAGCGAAAGGGCAGCTTTCAGAGCCCGTCTTTTTTCTCTCTGCATCGCGCCACAATTTCACTCGTTCCAGCAGGGTCAGCCCGTCCCCTTGAATATTTTCCAGGGTAAAAAACCCTGACACGCAGACCATATCCGCATCCAAAAACGCAACCTTCTCATACTGCTCCAACCGCAAAACAGTAAACTTAGTTAAGCACGCACTTAGCCACGGGTTATACATATGCCCGAACCGAACCTGCCGCCGCTGCCGAACCCCTTGCCGAGCCTCCAGCCTCGGCACAACCACCACGTGGTCCCAAACCTCGCCCAGAGCTGCGGTGACGTCCGAAGCAATGTCGTCTGTTACCATGCAGACGAGATCTGCGAGAGTGTTGGCGAGTCTGAGCGAATGACCTAAAACTAGAGCCCCACACGCATACACCTCGTTCTGCATCACCAGCGTTGCCCATGCGTACCGCCCTCGCCCTTGCTGCTCCTTCACACTGCCGGTCCCACTGCCGCTGCCGCTGCTGCTGCTACAGCCGACATTGCTGCTGCTGCTGTGGCTGGAGCTGGTGATACGGCTGGTGGCATTGGCAGTGTTGCTGCAGTCACTGCTGCCGCTGCTCGTGGCGATGCTGCCCTCATCAGCCACCCGTAGCCTCTGATAAGCAGCTGATAAGCCATCATGACTTGATAAGCTATCAGGCCTTGATAAGATATCAGGCCTTAATAAGCTATCAGGCCTTGATGAGCTATCGACCGCTGGCACTTTATCACCTGGCGTCAATTTGCCAGCAGGTGTGGGGTTACTGTAACCAGCTGCATTGGCCCCTCTTCCCCCGCCATTATCACTCCGCCCACTGTACGAAGTTGCTTCCCCCCATCTCGACGCCCTCCCGCCGCCTCCCCCCCATCCCCCGCCTCCCCCTCTTCCGCTGCTTCCCCCGCGCACCCCCCATCCCTCCTCCGCGCGGTTGCTTCCCCTGGCGTCGCCACGCGTCTTCCAATCGCCGCCGCCAGCGCCGCTGCTGCTGCCGCCGCCAGCGCCGCTGCTGCTGCCGCCGCCGCTGCTCCTCGCGTCGCTGTTTCCCCACGCGTCGCTCCCACGGCCAATCGCTGCCTGCCTGCCCCTGTTCGAAGGACCCCACCCGCCGCTACCCCCGCCACTGCCGCCACCGCCGCCGCCGCCGTCACCGTTGCCGCCGCTTACGGCCTTTCTGATCCATGAATTCTCGCTGGCGGTGCCAATGTGATTGAAGCGCCCGCCAGATGCGGCGGCATTTGCGGGTAAACTTCCGCTGCTGCTGCTACGGCTAGGCCGGAACTTGCCGCCAGGAGCGGGGGATGACGTGTCGTTGGTGCTGTGGTGCCTCTGGTGATTGGCAGACATGGCGGTGCGGTGCGGATTATGCAAGAAACCTAAGTTGTACGGGACCACGCAGTTTCTGTGCGGTGCGTTTTAAAACCGGGGTGCACATTCAGCTGAATGTGCATCAAAGGTTATCCCTTGACTGAGTGGGTTACGAGGTGTGCTTTCAACCCCTTCAAGTCGAAATTCGTTTCCCCCCTCCCCCGCAATTTCGTTTCCCCACGCCCCCGCAATTTCATTTCCCCCTCCCCGTCGAAATTCGTTTCCCCCCTCCCCCGCAATTTTGTTTCCCCCCTCCCCCGCAATTTCGATCCCCCCCCCTCCCGCCAATCTGTTTCATCCCTCCCGCCATTCGGTTTCTCCCACTCCCGCCATTTCACCCCCTCCCGCCACCTACGAAATGCCCGAAGCTCTGGCGGAATCATTTTTTTGTCGCCCCTCGTGAGCCAATCACTGTTTTTCTCCAAACCCCCTTCCCAACATCTCAAGCCGAACCGCGTTGAATGTGCACCCTGGTTTTAATGGAATTCACTGACATTATACAAAACGGTTGGGTTTGAATGGGTTGTGATGGTTCTGGATGGATGACACATGGGCAAGCGACAGCATGAAGTGCAGTTGGGTTGGGGTGGGGTGGGCATGGTACCGTAGGGTAGAAGATGATGGCATGACTGAATTTTATTTTATAGCACTAACAGCTTGCTCTAATTTTGGGTGTACTTCAGGTTTGTTTGCGATATCTATAAGCCTATCAGAGCTGACTTGACACTTGCCGGATAACGCAGGCAATCTGTATAGCGTATGTCTCTTGAGTGTATGGCGATTGGGTCAGACTCGTTCGTTTTCGCGCGAACTACAACCAATCAGACGTCTCTATACCACATGCGGCGCAGTTCACGTGCTCGCGACCAAATCCCCATGACCCGTCCCGCTCGCTGAGTCACTCGTGGCAGCAGGTGGGTTCTGACGGCTATCCAGCGCATCCTTCTGTTGCCGAGTCTTCAGGAGCTTTTTCTCAGTTAGATGCTAACAATTGGGTAAACGTACTGCTGACTTGGAAAACGCACGACACGAGCACCAATCAGCCTACTTCGGAAAACAGCGCATCAAGAAGATCTCCTTCCGCCTCCATTTTTACGGACAGCGTGGCACGCCGGCATGTCGGCTCCAACCAGCCAAGTACTTCCCATACCACGCCCCCATGCTTGGAGTGGTTGATCATTGCGCCAAAACTCGTCGATTTTCGCTGCCCTGCTGGCAGTGCGCAACGTATGACGCCTTGAATTAGATCTAAATTCATTATCTACAGTTCCTCATTCTCCAGTATCGCGTCGCGACACTAGCATGCAGCAACATGCCCTCGTGCGAGCAGCACATTGCAAATTCTCAACACAAAAAGCGAACAGCAGAAAAAGCTATCACTAGAATTCCGTTTGGTGTTTGTCATTCGATCACCGAAGCCCTTGCTCACTGCGCAGCAGTTTATCCTCCGTGTCTCTAGTTACCGATCGGCGTGCATTCACGCACTCAACAGCAGTGACTCGCGCGTGTTGCGGTAGCTTTCGCCTAAATGGCTTCGCTGATGGGCATCTCCGTCACCGCGCCGTCCGTCGCGGTGTCTGGGACATCTTCTCTTGAAACACAGTCTCGCATTCTCAAGGTACGTTCCGTTTTTTTCCAGTCGGTACCCTGAATCTGGCTGCTACATTCCTTCTGCCATAGTTCACACTCTTTCCAGATAGTTGCCCTAAGCAGTCAGAAAAACAACAATTTCTTTTCCTACACTCGACTTACTGGAAAACACTCGATGGTTGCCCATTTCTGACATTGCCACCGTTACTTGTTATGTTTCTCGGCAGGGAGGGGCCCGTCTCGCGCACGCCAAGGCGGCTCGCCCTTCTCAACGCCGATCGAAGACCAAGACAAGCGTCGCAGTGCGTTCTATTCCACGTCGTCGTTTGTTTCCCCTCTTGCTTTCTCCTTCATCGGCTTTCCTCACTCATACATACTTCGTTTTTTCCCTCTCTGCCTCCCGGCCTTTTCCCGCAAAGCCTGGCCTAACCAATTGACACCTGAGTTGACCCACACGCATACTAACTTCTGCCGTCCCGATATGCCTCTCTCTCCTCTCTCCTCTTATCCCCGCAGGCATTCGATCCGACCAACCAGCCGCGCGAGTCCACGCGAGCGGGCGATGCGCTCCAGAAGGTGATGAACGTCCCCGACTTCGCGCCCGACGACATCTTCGTCGCCAAGCTCAAGCCGCGCGAGGTTCTGCGCAACCTCTCCGTCGCTGGTAAGTCTTATATCCGCCCTCGCTGCCGCTTCGCTTTCCCCGCAA